TTGATTTGTACCCACTGCTGATCTTTATAGTTTACTACTGCAATAAGTGAGACTTGAGAATGGATGAGGTTGCAATGTCTCCCGACTTCACAAGAAAAGCCAGCTGCGACTGTCAACAATGTTTATGAGGCAGGGCAGTTCCATCCACGGAAGTGGTGCAATTGTGGTGGGTTGAGTGGAGGGACTTGTGCATGTCATTCTCCTTTGCAAGGATCAACAGGTTTCCACTGGCAATAGGTTTTACTTGGATGTGTGAATTTGGAGCTCTGCCATGATATGTTTGATGCAAGGATTTATTGGATCAGGAGTAATGCAAATTGAGGGAAATAACTCTGATAGATCTATCGTAAGGAATGCCGGCGTTGGAATTAACTGGATGAATGCGGGTGGAAATAATGGCTGCACTGTGTGGGGCAGAAGAGCACCAAACTGGATAAATGGGTGGAGAAATGCTAGATGGATGGATGCATGGATTGCATGATGGATGGGAAGATGGAACAATCGCATCTATTCGATTATGACTGTTGGCAGTGCCAGCTGGCTTGTCTTCCCATTCCTACTGATCTTCTAACCGCATCCATTCTCAGGTATCCATTTTAAGTCAGCGTTTGCAGGTGCACTGGTGCTTCCCACATACCTGACCTTAAAGCCAACCGAGGTATCACTGGCTACCCTAAAGTATGGAATCATTGGCCGTCAAGTGACATGTCACAGCATGTAAAAGTGTATTTCAGATGGTGAATTCGGATAAGTCCAACGAAGAGAAGAGGAAAGGTTATTGGACTACCTCCACCTAGCTCCTGCAGAATTACGTTTATTCACAAAGGCAACCACCAATCTCTCTACTTATCCTCACACCTCCCTCTCTACCTACCAGCGAGCTGATCAAACACAGCCATTTATGCTACGAGACCTCGTGGCCCTGACGTGCCTGAGTGAAGTGAACCACAGTGAGTGATTGGTTGGTGCATAAGTTTATCATCAAAATATCACAATGCAGAGCAATGCCAGAGGTAGGGGTAAGGGTGGAGTCAGATGGGGATGGTAGGGGCTCGTTCAAATTTGGCCCTGGACTTCTTCTTCCTTTTCCACACGATTGGTGAAGATGATGAGCATCGTGACTATGATGAGTGCTACCTGAAAGGGAGATAAGTACGGTTTTAAACAATGTCTCTCCTTCACATTAGTTACTGGCAGTACAAGGCTTGGAATCGGGACTCACCAGGAACAGAATGGAGACAATGGAGAGGTACATTGAAGCCCTTAAACTAGCCACGTAATTCTCTGCAATTTTGCCTCTGCATCCTGTCACATTGGCACTTTGTGCTTTTCCTTGATCACAATTGCCAGTCGTGATATTGCAACATGGAAGTGGCAAGCTTTGCGTTAAGTCTACTAGAAAGGTGGCAGAATGGGAAATTCGCGCTCGGACCAGAGCAAAGAAATGCAAATTGTTCTCAAACCTACCAAAATCCTCGTAGCCATCCATGCCGCAACATTGAGGGACGCTCTGTCATGAACGATAACAAATGGTAGTCATATGTTTGAAGTCATTACAAGCATAAAAGAGGTGAAGTAACTCGCTTAGACTTCATACCGTCATCAGCACGTTCAATATGGCAGTCGATTTTCTTCCCTCCACACTCTCATTCCCGTATGACATGAGAAGTGTTTCCGTTGAGTGGAGAAGCCCACTAGCAAGTCTGATGGGATTGGAGTAGGCCACAGCAGCAGCAATTACTTCTACGACGAGTAGAACAATCAGAATGGCAGCATACTGGAGGAAAAAGAGGAAAACGATTGACATTAATTTGGTGAATTCAATTCGCCTCTACTTCTCCTTCCCAAAATCGACTCACTATCTTCAGCAGTATGCTGTGTTTACTGCACGCACTAACGCATCCGAACACACATACTGCTACTAGGATGAGTCCGACCACAATGAAGACTGTGGCAATTTGATCTGAAGAGGATAAGTCAATACCGTTCATGCCGAATTGGAAGCACTGACGATGAACAAGGTGGCATTCCTTGACTTAAAATGAAACCTACCGACATGCCGATATATGAAGTCTGCAAATTGGCGTACATCTTCAGCATCACCTTCGAAGTCGTTAAGTATTTCCGTCTGCATCTGCAGTGCCATGTCCTTTACTGCTTTCAGCAAAATGCCAAACAATACAACAATGGCAAAGATTACCTAACGGAGAGAAGAAAAACAGCAAGTCAATGCAAAATGGCAGTAAGACATCACATCTATATCACAGCACTTACGAGGAGGAAACCATTGAGGATTTGGAGAATAACTTTCAGGCCGCACGAAATGCGCTTGCCCATGCTGAAGTGGGACAATGAAGTGCAGAGAAGTATGTGAAAGCTAAGTAAGAAGGTGGCATTATTTCTGATACAGGAGCAGAAAGAGAAAGAGCTTACCTTAGTTGAAGTGTGAATTAGAAGCGCATTGGTGATACATTTATAGCTAGAGTAGACTGTCCTTGAGACAATCGTATTCGCGTTCCCACAGTGATTGTGCAAGTTACTGGCTGTGAAGTGGCCAATAGGAGTGGAGAGTTGGGCGTGTGCGAATGCAAGTGGCTGGAAGCCTGGTTAGCCAATCATATCTTTCGTAGGTGTCACTTAATCAATCTGTTACTTGCTGCCATTGTGCAATGCCACAACATAACAGGATTACGCCCCCAGTCATTGCGTTTGCAAGCGCAATTCCTCACTCATTCCACCTCTACGACAATAAAGTTGGTGCGATGGTTGCGTGGATGCATATATTCCCTCTATCCACCCACTCACTCACCCACCTACTCATTCATCTGAATTCTCCCTGAAGTGAAATAAATATCAGATAACACTAGAGAGATCTCATCACAGCCAGAGGCATCTTCATATCTGCAGCATTCGATGGTTACACCTCATGTTATATTGTATGGCCAATAAAGTATACAAATGGTATCAGGGCAGTTCCATCCACGGAAGTGGTGCAATTGTGGTGGGTTGAGTGGAGGGACTTGTGCATGTCATTCTCCTTTGCAAGGATCAACAGGTTTCCACTGGCAATAGGTTTTACTTGGATGTGTGAATTTGGAGCTCTGCCATGATATGTTTGATGCAAGGATTTATTGGATCAGGAGTAATGCAAATTGAGGGAAATAACTCTGATAGATCTATCGTAAGGAATGCCGGCGTTGGAATTAACTGGATGAATGCGGGTGGAAATAATGGCTGCACTGTGTGGGGCAGAAGAGCACCAAACTGGATAAATGGGTGGAGAAATGCTAGATGGATGGATGCATGGATTGCATGATGGATGGGAAGATGGAACAATCGCATCTATTCGATTATGACTGTTGGCAGTGCCAGCTGGCTTGTCTTCCCATTCCTACTGATCTTCTAACCGCATCCATTCTCAGGTATCCATTTTAAGTCAGCGTTTGCAGGTGCACTGGTGCTTCCCACATACCTGACCTTAAAGCCAACCGAGGTATCACTGGCTACCCTAAAGTATGGAATCATTGGCCGTCAAGTGACATGTCACAGCATGTAAAAGTGTATTTCAGATGGTGAATTCGGATAAGTCCAACGAAGAGAAGAGGAAAGGTTATTGGACTACCTCCACCTAGCTCCTGCAGAATTACGTTTATTCACAAAGGCAACCACCAATCTCTCTACTTATCCTCACACCTCCCTCTCTACCTACCAGCGAGCTGATCAAACACAGCCATTTATGCTACGAGACCTCGTGGCCCTGACGTGCCTGAGTGAAGTGAACCACAGTGAGTGATTGGTTGGTGCATAAGTTTATCATCAAAATATCACAATGCAGAGCAATGCCAGAGGTAGGGGTAAGGGTGGAGTCAGATGGGGATGGTAGGGGCTCGTTCAAATTTGGCCCTGGACTTCTTCTTCCTTTTCCACACGATTGGTGAAGATGATGAGCATCGTGACTATGATGAGTGCTACCTGAAAGGGAGATAAGTACGGTTTTAAACAATGTCTCTCCTTCACATTAGTTACTGGCAGTACAAGGCTTGGAATCGGGACTCACCAGGAACAGAATGGAGACAATGGAGAGGTACATTGAAGCCCTTAAACTAGCCACGTAATTCTCTGCAATTTTGCCTCTGCATCCTGTCACATTGGCACTTTGTGCTTTTCCTTGATCACAATTGCCAGTCGTGATATTGCAACATGGAAGTGGCAAGCTTTGCGTTAAGTCTACTAGAAAGGTGGCAGAATGGGAAATTCGCGCTCGGACCAGAGCAAAGAAATGCAAATTGTTCTCAAACCTACCAAAATCCTCGTAGCCATCCATGCCGCAACATTGAGGGACGCTCTGTCATGAACGATAACAAATGGTAGTCATATGTTTGAAGTCATTACAAGCATAAAAGAGGTGAAGTAACTCGCTTAGACTTCATACCGTCATCAGCACGTTCAATATGGCAGTCGATTTTCTTCCCTCCACACTCTCATTCCCGTATGACATGAGAAGTGTTTCCGTTGAGTGGAGAAGCCCACTAGCAAGTCTGATGGGATTGGAGTAGGCCACAGCAGCAGCAATTACTTCTACGACGAGTAGAACAATCAGAATGGCAGCATACTGGAGGAAAAAGAGGAAAACGATTGACATTAATTTGGTGAATTCAATTCGCCTCTACTTCTCCTTCCCAAAATCGACTCACTATCTTCAGCAGTATGCTGTGTTTACTGCACGCACTAACGCATCCGAACACACATACTGCTACTAGGATGAGTCCGACCACAATGAAGACTGTGGCAATTTGATCTGAAGAGGATAAGTCAATACCGTTCATGCCGAATTGGAAGCACTGACGATGAACAAGGTGGCATTCCTTGACTTAAAATGAAACCTACCGACATGCCGATATATGAAGTCTGCAAATTGGCGTACATCTTCAGCATCACCTTCGAAGTCGTTAAGTATTTCCGTCTGCATCTGCAGTGCCATGTCCTTTACTGCTTTCAGCAAAATGCCAAACAATACAACAATGGCAAAGATTACCTAACGGAGAGAAGAAAAACAGCAAGTCAATGCAAAATGGCAGTAAGACATCACATCTATATCACAGCACTTACGAGGAGGAAACCATTGAGGATTTGGAGAATAACTTTCAGGCCGCACGAAATGCGCTTGCCCATGCTGAAGTGGGACAATGAAGTGCAGAGAAGTATGTGAAAGCTAAGTAAGAAGGTGGCATTATTTCTGATACAGGAGCAGAAAGAGAAAGAGCTTACCTTAGTTGAAGTGTGAATTAGAAGCGCATTGGTGATACATTTATAGCTAGAGTAGACTGTCCTTGAGACAATCGTATTCGCGTTCCCACAGTGATTGTGCAAGTTACTGGCTGTGAAGTGGCCAATAGGAGTGGAGAGTTGGGCGTGTGCGAATGCAAGTGGCTGGAAGCCTGGTTAGCCAATCATATCTTTCGTAGGTGTCACTTAATCAATCTGTTACTTGCTGCCATTGTGCAATGCCACAACATAACAGGATTACGCCCCCAGTCATTGCGTTTGCAAGCGCAATTCCTCACTCATTCCACCTCTACGACAATAAAGTTGGTGCGATGGTTGCGTGGATGCATATATTCCCTCTATCCACCCACTCACTCACCCACCTACTCATTCATCTGAATTCTCCCTGAAGTGAAATAAATATCAGATAACACTAGAGAGATCTCATCACAGCCAGAGGCATCTTCATATCTGCAGCATTCGATGGTTACACCTCATGTTATATTGTATGGCCAATAAAGTATACAAATGGTAT